AACGAAGGATGTCTGCACATCCGTATACACTGCAGCATCATCAAGCCATTGAGCTGGTTCCCCTCTACGGCCACAAAATGTTCGAGTTTGCTTCAAGAAATTCAAAATGGCACCTCTTCTTAGACATGCCATGCCTCCAAACTTCTGAAATTAATGCTGCAGTTAATTCATTTTTTTAAAGTCGGAGCCAGCGAAACCGTGACAAATTCAACATGAACCACCGGATTCAGGTAAATGAAATGCGCGAATTCTTGCTGAATATGTGCGTAGAAAGAAACGCTCGCAAGCGTTTTGCAAAAGAAAACAAAGACATATATAAGAAGTTGGTCGATTCCCTTCGTCTTGCCCTAGTTGCTCTACGCTGTTCCCATGTGATATGCAAATATCCCGTCTTGGAACTCGAGTTCCCCTTAGGATATTACATCCAAATGGCACTTTTAGTGTTTTTATTATCAAAATTCGACTGTGTTTCCCTTCACGGTGGTGGGCCAGCAACGCCAAACAAACTCATATGTTAACGCATAAACGCGATTTCAGGCCTCCGTCCTTTTCCAGCCTCCAAGCAAGGGATATTCATTTGTTCATATTTCTAAAATTTCTGCAACAATTAGAAAACAGCTGCAAATTATTTCTTGTGTTAAAGTGGTAACAGCTTTGTGTTGTTGTCGGCTAACTCTTTCCTTCTGCCCCGAGTTTTGTTTCGTTTTTTTTTTCAAATAAATTTTTTTTTTGGTGTGAAGTGCCAGTTGTCAACTAAGCAGCGATATGCACTGTGACAATAATACAATTGCAATAGTTCTGCGAAAAAAGACGTCGAAACGAGCGAAATACAATTTTTTAAAATTTATTAAAGCTACACAAGCACAGACTAATAATAACTAGAGCCCTGAACAAGAAAGACTAATGATTAAAGCATGAAAGCTTAGCACAAAATGCATCAAAAAACTGAGAAATATACAAAATTGGGGCACAAGATAGATATTAAACACCAGGCACTTTGCAACTTTGCAGTAATAGCAAGGGCAAGAAGTGGGAAGCAACAACTCTAGTTCATGCTTGGCCTATAACACACAATCTTCCACGCCAATATCCATATGGGGCTGTGTGTGTGTGTGTCCATGCGTGGGTGTGCATGTGTGTGTGGGTGGGTGTGTAGGTGAGTGTGTGTGCGTGTGTGTATATGTGATTATATATCTACATTCGAATATAATAATATTCCCGGATGATTATCTAATTCGTTATTTTTCGTGAGTATTTAAGCATTCCAAGAGGTACTGGCCAACATCTTTGAGCTTTTGAGTAACTTTTAATTTTTTCCCTCCTTCCTTTGTTGTTGCTTCCTTCTCAGTTTATGAGCCAAATTAGTTGATCTGAACCCTCATTTTAATGAATTTTTTTTCGAAAAATCCCTGAACAGGCTCCTGCAGCCGACCAGCTGAGAGGTGGTACATCAGAATTACATAGGAATGCAACAGCAAATCTCCATGTGAGGGCGATTATTCTCAAAATTTAAGTAATTTTTTGACCTAACAATAAAAATTAGTTTACAAATACCCTTAATGCAACACTGAATAGCTTCATTTTACAAGTCCGCCTGCTCGTAACTGCTTAAAAAACAAGAAAAATTTAAAACTTGCAAAAATTTAAACTTTACCCCAATGTAAGCTCGAACGTTGGCTAAATAAAAATATAAAAGAAGTATCAATGCAGTGATAAATCTAATGAAAAAAAAAAAACTAAAATTTATAGTACACAATGTATGAAAAAAAAATAATTTCTAATTACAATGATTAATATTAGACATCACAGTTGGACATTTACAATTCTATAGATCATTCATTACAGCGGGGCAACTACAGTACCATGAAGATCTAACACGAAAAAGACCAAAAAAAACGCAATATCAATAAATGCATGAAATAATCATTGTAGCATCTAAAAA